ATTAGGTAATTAAAATCAAACTCTATCGTTTTGTTCTTTTGTTCATTTAATGGCACTAATAGAACTAGTAAAATAGATTTAAAAAAATATAGATGTGAATATGGATAAAGGAACTGAAATTTAAAAATAGAATGGAGTTGGGAAACAAACAAAATGGGGGAGAAGATGATCTGTAAACACTTCAAACATCTTAATGGAACATATGGTATCTCCGCCCACCCCACCCCCCAATGTGAGGATAATGGCAGTGTTGAGGAGTTTATCCATGGAGAAAGGATTTATTAAGCAAATTAAGAGAAGTACAAGGTAAAATTTAAATTAATTGAAAATAAACCACTTTCATGTATTTTAGCACCATCCATATGTGAACAAGAAGCAATAGCTTAATTACAATTAGTTGTAATTAAATCTAAGATACTCATTAAAGCAAGCCGAATGACCCTCTCTACTAACAAAAACTCTTACCTCTTGGTTTAAGTAATAAAATGGTATATAAAGATGTTCTATGAATCAACAAATCAGACCACCTCTCTTTAACAAAAATTAATGTGTTAAATTATATGAAATTATAATATTTCTGAGTTTCACCAACTATTGCCATTACAAAACACTTAAAAAATCTTTTAACTTGGGCGCCTGGGTGGCTCAATTGGTTAAGCGACTGCCTTCGGCTCAGGTCATGATCCTGGAGTCCCGGGATCGAGTCCCGCATCGGGCTCCCTGCTCGGCAGGGAGTCTGCTTCTCCCTCTGACCCTCCTCCCTCTCATGCTGTCTGTCATTCTCTCTCTCTCAAATAAATAAATAAAATCTTAAAAAAAAAAAATCTTTTAACTTGAGCACTTAGTCATTAAAATGTAGCTGAAGAAATAATTTTAAATGCTAATCTTTTACCTCTCAAATTGGCAAAAAAGATTTTAATTAATTGTTAAAGATTTTATTTTCAAGTAATCTCTACACCCAACATGGAGCTTGAACCCACAACCCTGAGATCAAGAGGCACATGCTCCACTGACTGAGCCAGCCGGGCACCCTGGCAAAAAAAAAAAATTTTAATAACATCAAGTATGGGTGAGTGTCCAAGGCAATGGACACTCACTCACATGATGGGGCTGCGAGTGTAAATCGGTACAACTTTTTGAAGAGGTGGACTTTATAAATCAGCAGTATTTTTACGTAAGAGTTTTCATACCAATATTTATCAAAAATCTTCAAAATATTAATGTTTTTACTTTAGCAATCCCAATTCTGAGAATTTATCCTAAGGAAGTAACCAGAAATGTATATACAGTATTAATGATATGTAAAAATAACCACTACACTTTATTGAGCACATATGATATCCCAAGGCACTGCATGATACTCTACATAGATTATCATCTCATTTAATTCTGAATATTATCTTCATTTCATAGGTGACAAAACAGAGGCTTATAGGTTAAGTGACTATAAGGCCTGGTAAGTGTGGTGGAGCTGGGATTCAAAGGCAGATCTATCTGAAACCTAAGCCCAAGTTCTCAGCCATTAAAATATGATGCTACTCTTAGAAAAATCTAGTAAGAAAATGGGGAGTAGTGATTTCCCTAGTTTGGTGGTTCTACAGAATATTTTTTTTAATTGTGAAAAAACCTGGAAACAAACTAAATGTTCAGCAAAAGGGGAATGTTTAAACGAATACTATACAGCTATTAACGTAATACTGAAATACATTTTAACGACACTGAAAAAAAAAAAAAGCCATAATATATTAAGTGAAAAAAGCATGTTTAAAACAGTATGTCCAATGTGATCCCCAATAAACAATGTGTGTGTGTCTGAGTATAGAAGAAAACTGAAAGACAAATATGGAGTCCTTTTTTTTTTTCTTCTGTGCTCTTTTCTATATTTTCTAAATTATTTTTGTGATTAGAAAAGCTGCATCTTTGAGGAGGAGCAGCACGTAAAAGGAAAGAAATGTCTTTCCAGAATTGATAAAAAATTATAGATTATTTGTGCTCTGAAAAAAAGAAAGAAAGAAAGTATCCTACTATCCTAACACTAAAAATGAAGGGAAGAGAACAGCAGTGGGAGGTAGGCTAGAAGTACTGAGGAATGGCATTTTCATTTTCAAAAGCAGCCTGGAAGACTTAGCACCTTTAGACTGGTTTGAGCCCGCAGGCTTTTGTCAACCTATCATTAGGCAACAATGTGAAAACTACTTGCAGGGAAAGATTTTGCAATATTTCTAATATATTTCTAAGACACCTATGCCTCATTCTTTTTTCTGTTACTGTACTTAGTTAAAGGGAATGACATTTTTTTTTTCCCCTGAGAAAACCAAAAAGTCTAATATGAATTTATTATACCGGTGACATGGAAATAATTTTTGTAACTTTAAGGGTACATGGATGATCCAGACAGTGAATCATGAATCGAAACAATTTCGAATAAGCTTGTATAGACACTTATTTTTCTATTCCTTAGCCTTCCACTCATCTAAAAGTCTACCTTGAAAGGCTTTAACAATTTAAAGATTAAATCATAAGTTATTAAGCCATTAATTTAACCATTTAAGCCTCTAAACCCAGCACACATTACCTTCCCCCCTCAAGTCAATTTGCAAGAGATTAAAATAATAAAAATGATAATATCTCACACTTACAAAGCAGCTTTGATCTGTAGGAGCCTAAAGTGCTTTTTTAAAACTTTATAGAAAAACTAGGACCATTCCACCCACATCTCAGAGGACATCTGAGGTAGAAGCTGGCAGCTGGTGAAAAGCAATGCAGTAATTTACCATCTGCAAGGAAGACTACTACTTTTGAGCAAGTACAAGGAATAGACGGGAGTTAGGGAAATGCGAACAGAATTAGCTGTTCAATTAAATGCTACATTCAATGGCCACAGATTCCAAGGGCTATTATTTAAAGTTTCACCAGAGGAAGTTTAGGTTCCCTCAGAGGGGGAAAAAAACAAAGAAAAGCCACCCCCACCTACATTAAGGAAGTTACTGGTTCTAGTGATTCTGTCTAGATTTTCCCCAGAAGGAGAGATACTACTGGTTTCACCTCAGACACAGATAAACGGACTATGACATTTAAGTTCTTTTTCTGTCTGGCAACATTTTCCTCTCTTTCACACTCAACTTCAAAGGCTTTTATATAGAATATTTATCTTTTTAAAAAGATTTTATTTATTTTATTTTGAGAGAGAGAGAGAGAGAGAGAGAGTACAAGCAGGGGGAGGGGCAGAGGGAGAGAGAGAGGGGTAAGCAGACTCCCCACAGGGCAGGGAGCCCGCCACAGGACGCTGGGATCCTGACCTTAGCCAAAGGCAGATGCTTAACCGACTGAGCCACCCAGGCGCCCCACAGAATATTTGTCTTGACGGTACAGTGTACAGGACAAGAATCCTGGTTCAAGCTCTGCCCCCTCCATCCATTTCAAGCATGCTACTCGAACAGTCTTCTGCCATCTGCACAAATAAGAAGCTAACTTCTCAAACTTACATTTTTTTGGAGTCTGCTTATTTTAAAATATTATCTTTCCTCTTCAGTCTCTTCCCTTAAAAAAACCTAAAGTAACTGTATCCTCTATCTTTATAAAGTGGGGGCCTAGGAGCAAGGTTAAAGAATTCCAGAGCTGTCTTTATTAGACAGCACCCCAATTCTCAAAGCTCTTTTCTCGGATTCTGATTTTCCCACATCTCTTTAACAGTCAGTTTATATCTATGAAAGATCAAGCATGAAAAATCGGATTTAAGTAAAAGAAATACTTCAACTAGATATAAAAAAATAACTTCTTCACTGTCTGGGAGTATACCAAATCAGAATATCTGGGAACACAGGCTACCAAGTGACATGGAACAGTCATTACATCTTCATCAGTGACTTTTGTTGTTTTTAAAGAGTAGCCACTTACTATCCTAGAAGCCATACATGGCACTTGCTTGAATGTAAGAGAGATGGACCAGATGGTCTTAGAGTCCTTTCAGCTCTAGGATTCTATTCTATGTTGCTCTAACTTTCCCTGACGGTTCAAAGCAGCTGCATTAAGAAGGTGACAAATGGCACTTAGAGATAGGAAGAAGGATGAGGGCTGTGTTAAGTTGACAAGCAAACTCTGATTGTCCTAAAGGACCATCATCCCTTTGTAGGGGTTTTGAGAATATCTTTCCAAAGATGTACCTCTGTTCTTTTCCAAACTACAAAGTCAACCTAATTGACCCTAAACAGTGTGATTTTGTACACTGATTAAAAAAAAAAATCCTAAGTGAGTTTGCTCCACTCTACTCAAATACTTTTTTTAAAAAAAGATTTATTTATTTTAGAGGGACACAGAGAGAGAGAGAGAGAGAAAGTGAACAAGAGGAGGAGCAAAGGGAGAGGTACAAGCAGACTCTGCACTGAGCGCAGAGCCCAACACAGGGTTCAATCCCAGGACCCTGAGATCATGACCTCAGCAGAAATCAAGAGTGGGATGCTTAACCGACTGAGCCACCCAAGTGTCCCTCTACTCAAATACTTTTAACTTGATCTTTCTTTCAATCAAGTCAATACAAACTTAAGAAATGAAAATTAACTGTAATATGTATTAAACAAAACATAATTTGGGGGCACCTGGGTGGCTCAGTTGGTTAAGCATCTGCCTTCGGCTCAGGTCATGATCTCAGGGTCCTGGGATCAAGCCCCAAATCGGGTTCCCTGTTCAGTGGGGAGTCTGCTTCTCTCTCTCTCTCTGCCCCTCCCCCCAATCATTTGCTCTCTCTCAAATAAATCTTTAAAAAAAACCCACATAATTTGGAAGATTAAAGAATGCTAATAAGAATGCAATACAAAGTTAAATCTACCTAAAACAATGATTGTTTCCTCCCAAATTCTGCTGATAATTTAGTTCCACTTGAGAAGAATATAGTTGCTATGGCTTTTACATATGTACATGTACAAAGATAGATATACAGGTACATGTGTACACACACGTATCTAAGAGATAGGAGATTAAAATGAAAGTAAAAATCTTGATACCTTCTTCATGGCCTGACACTTGGCTGTCTCAGAAAAGCCAATCATTTTATCAGGAGAACAGATCTTGATGAAGGGGAAGTTGGATTCCTCTGCAATCTTCGCTGCTAAAGCAGTCTTCCCACTATGAGGAGGGCCTGCATAAAGATAGGAGCACGTCAGGGGAAAAAAGCCAACCTAAGCAAAGGGGAATAAGACAAGTTTAAACGTTTATCCACAATGTACTGAGGTCTCAACTAGTTGCTCATTAACATTTCCTGACACAATTTCATAGCAGACATGTTTTCTCTTATTTATTAGCAACTAAACTTAATGAACTGATTAGCATTTCTGAAAGGTATGATGAAATACATTCCTTCTTTCTTTCTCACAGTCTTAATCTTTCAAACTTCTGGCTAAATATATAAAATGCAAGGGTTTTGTTTCTTAAAAAAAAAAAAGAATGCATTCAAATGCATATCCGTACTCATATTATTAGTTCCATCAAATCATATGTCTAACAAAAAAATATGATCTTCTTAGGAGATGACATTGGGGGCAGGGAAAAAATGCCTTATTGAAGCAAATGTGACTTAAAAAGCTAAAATTTTAAAGATTTACTTAGGCCTTCTCATAAAGGCAACCAAATCTATAAATGTATCTGTATTTGGACATCTCCTCTTTCCCTTCTCTTCCATCCATAAACCAACCAATTCTTCCTTCCCATCTTCTCAGGAACCTGACACTGACTGAATCCTCTTCCCCATTTGTTCTATCTCTTGCTCTTCCCTACGGTCTGTCCAACAGTATCTCAGCATGCTTTAGTCTACCTAACAGTTTAATAAACAAAGCAAAAAACTCTTCCTGGGCTCACACCCCTCAACACCACTCCTTCTCCCTTCAAAATGAAACTTCTCTAAATAATTATCTATGCTGACCACCTTCACTTTTCATTTTCCCTCCATCCTCAAACCAACCCTCTGGTTTCCATTGCCATTACATGGAACAGGCTCCCATCTGGGTCACCAATGACCTCCACGTCACCAAATCCAACAGACACTTTATCTGTTGGCTTCTTAGGAATATTTGATACAATGGATAACTCCTCTTTTTTAAAAATACTTTTCTTGACTTCTGTGATAGCTCCTTCTCTTTCTCTCCCTCTTACCTCTTGCTCAGTCTCCTTTGTCAACTCTTCCTGATCTACTTGGTTTTTAAATGTTGACACACCTCAGAGATCAGTTCTAGGCCCCCTTTTCTTTTCAACTTACACCCTTCTGTAAGTAACCTCACCCAACTCCTATGGATTCAACAGTCTATATACAGACACTCATGAATGTTATTGCCAGCCAGACCTCTCTTCTGAGCACACATATCCAATGGGCTGCTCAACATTTCCAATTCCATTGTCCTATAGGAACCTCAAACTCAACATATCCAAAACTGAACTCATAATCTTTCTTCCTGAAATGTTCTTCTCCACTAGTGTTCCCAATCTTAGTAAACAGCACCATTTACCAGGTCGTGTAGAAACCTGGCGATTTGATAACTCTTCCTCATATTCAATCTAGTTACTTAATATTTCTAAGTTTAGCTTCCCCATCTACCAAATAGACCTAACAGAAGCATCTGCCCTCAGAGGATTGAAGTGGGGTTTAAATAAGATAATAAGTGTAGAGTGCCAATAGAGTGACTAGCAAATAACAGTCCAAAGAATGTTAGCTTAATTATGATTAATAATTAATAATAATAATTATGAAGTCTCTTTTATTCTCTCTCCTACATATTTCTCAAAATGGTCTACTTGGGCGCCTGGGTGGCTCAGTTGGTTAAGTGTCTGCTTTCGGCTCAGGTCATGATCCTGGAGTCCCGGGATCGAGTCCCGCATCGGGCTCCCTGCTCAGCGGGGAGTCTGCTTCTCCCTCTGACCCTCCCCCCTCTCATGCTCTCTCTCTCTCTCTCAAAGAAATAAAATCTTTTTTATTTTTTAAAGATTTTACTTATTCAAGAGAGTGAGAATGAGAGAGAGACCTCTGACCCTCCCCCCTCTCTCATTTTATTTCTTTGAGAGAGAGAGAGAGAGAGCATGAGAGGGGGGAGGGTCAGAGGGAGAAGCAGACTCCCCGCTGAGCAGGGAGCCCGATGCGGGACTCGATCCCGGGACTCCAGGATCATGACCTGAGCCGAAGGCAATCGCTTAACCAACTGAGCCACCCAGGCGCCCAATAAATAAAATCTTAAAAAAAAAAAAAAGATGCATTAATGCAGCTGCTTCTAACCATTGGTTTCTCCTGTATCTTTTCTGACCCTCCAATCTATTCTCTACCACAAAGAGTCATGATGTTTTGAAAATACAAATCTTATCATGTCACTTCACTGCTTAAAACCCTACAAATGGCTTCCATTGCCCCTCAGACAGAGACTGAATCTTTAATACGGTCTACAAGGCTATGTAAGAACTGGCTCCTGTCTACTTCTTCAGTTTCATGTCTAGCCAATGTCCCTTTCTGTTTCAATCCCCTTCCCGCCGAGGCCTTTTTCACATGCCAGTCCCTCTAGCTAGAAATCTTCCCCAATTCCTTTGCTGGGCCAGCTTCTCCTCATCCTTCAGGTCTTGGCTTAATGTGTTTCAGGAGGCCCTCACTCACAGACTTTGGAAGGAGTTAGATTCCTCTGTCATGTGGACTCACCAAACCTTTCTGTTGTACTAATCATAACTGTAAACAAGTAACTAGGGAATAGAATGTCCCTGCCTTTCCGTCTACTTGGTAAAATTCTAACTAATCCTTCAAAGTCTAAAATTAAACACCACCTTTAGCTTTCTTTGATCATCCCTGGGCAAAATGACTTGCATTCACATACACCTTTACACATATATACTGTAGTTAAGAATTTGTTTACGTGTCTTTTGTTCATGACCAGACTGAACTCTGTGAATGTCTTTGTATCCCCAGCAACCGGTTCAGTGCCTAAAACATTTTACTCAATGAATACTTATTTAATTGAATCGAGTACTATGTACTGTCTATTATATAACATAGCACTCAGTGGATATTTATTTAATTAACTCAAGTACGCTGTGGTAGCATACAGTCTATTAAGTAACAGAAATTTAGATACAATCCCACAAAAAAACTAGTTGCTATCATTCATCAGTAACATTCTACCCCAAGAAAATTTTTAATTTATGCACAATATTTATACATAGACTGGATTACTATTTTTAGATTATGAATAGATTTAGAATGGAAAATAATTCATTTTTCTGGAATGTGCTAAATAACTTTGCAAAAGTTTTTTTTTTTCTTACTTTTAATGCCATCTCCTCATTCTTTCTTACCTTCCAAAAGGACGCTAACCAGTGGCGTGCGGTCACTATTTTTAGTCTGCTGAACCAGCAGCTCCCCATCTTCTAGAACTCGTGTAACTGGATCACCCCATTTGATAATACCATTCATAATGTAACTTGCATAATCCTCTTGGTTTGTGCCAAATGCCTATGGAGGAAAAGGATAATTTAAAGCATTTTGAGTGTTAGTATACAAACTAAAATACTTAAAGGTACAAAAGATAAGTAATAATTTCTACACACTAAAAGTGTTGAGCAATATCCCATATTAATGTAAAAAGCTTGAAAAGGAAAAACAAAAAACCCATTATTTTATAACTTCTCATTTAACCTTGTACCCAGTGGTGGAGGAGTTACTTTGGGTGACTTAATGGAGTAAAACATAGATCCTAGGGTCAGATTCTACAAGAGCCCAAGCCCTCATGATCCCTGAGAAAGGGTAGTTTCAACGTGCTTGTTTCTGTAAGGAGTACATTGGTTGTGGCCGTCTGTTAAGAACAAAGAGAAAAAGAGGTTATGGACTTAGAAGCAGTTGGCTCAGCAGACGGAGATACTATCTTCACACTGACGGTAGGTGTCTCGGATTAAAATGGAAAATGAAATGGTAATGAGAAGATCTGGTCCACATCAGCTTGGTAGCAGGGGACATATGTTAAATGGCAGCAACGTAAGCCTAGGTTTGTAAATATAAGATTTAGAATGAGGTAGGAAGGAGCAGCTATACTGAAAGACTGAAGTAGGAGAAAAAGGAAATAAAAGCAATTACTATAAATAATAATCTTAAGGGTGCTTGCTACATATTAGAGCTTAAATCACATCCCTCTTCATTTTCAACTTCTACTTTCACATTGTAACTCCCAACAAACCAGCTGCCAAGAAAAGTCAGTAACGTTAGCACTTAGTGACTTAATTGAATTGCGTTTTCATAAGGTTAACAAGTGAAGAAATGAGTAAGAAAACATAACCCAACATAATCTAAGGGTCACATATCTTGAGAATTTCAAATTTTAAAAAATTATCACATCCCTCAAAAAGTCAGTTTTTCATTACCCAACATATGGAATGATTTTAACATTAGAACTTGTACCTCACAGAAAATCATTCCCTGTAATACTGTCTCTTAACATTATACAGTGGTCTCATTACTCTGTTACTTTGCCACCAAATCACTTTGCACACCACCCTCTCGTCCTTGCACACGCTAGTCTTTTGATCCCTGAATACAGAAGAAAGTTATCATTCCCTGTTCTGGATATGGGAACTGAGTGGCCCTGTAAAAAGTTATAAAGGAGGAGTCTAGGAAGCAGTGGCTGGATGGCTACTGTAGGAAATATGTAGACTGGCTGGCTTTTGTCTTTAATGATTCCAAGTATATACTCCAAGCCTCACAACAGCAGGAGCAAGATACCTGAACCAGGAAACAGTGACCCCCTGGCCAAGTCTAACCATATGTAGCAGTCTTCCTTACATATTCTGTCACTTTATTTTCTGTTTTATCCCCCAGACTCGTGCAATAAATAAAAGTAAGTTATTAATTACTTAACTAAGTAAGTTATCTTAGTTTCCCCTTCCTGGTGGCCAAATTATTCGTCATTAAAAAAATCTTGGCATAAAGCAGTTAGGCTGGGCTCTAATATTTTTGGTAACTATTACGGATGACAGCAGCAAAAGATTAAATTATTTCCATTGCTCGATAACTTTTGAAAGTAATTATTTTATATTTAAAAGTCACAATAGTCATAAAGTAGACAGGGCTAAAACAAATTGATTTTTGTCTTTAAACGAGATACTTGCAACAAATAATTATTGTCAAGAATATAAAAGCAACTTATACAGGCCAAATAAAAATAAAGAATAAACAATATAACAGAAAAATAGGCAAAAGACATGAACAGCATTTCACAGAAGACACTCATATGGCCAATAAACATACGGAGAGATGCTTAACTTCATAAGTAATCAGTGATGTGCAAATCAAAAATAAAATGAGATTTAATTTTACATCCAACTGAATGGCAAAAATTAATTCTGACAATACCAAGTGTTATGAGATGGCAATCTCCCTATCATGAGAAATAATTTTAATTAAGTACTGATTAATTACCCAGCCACCAGCATTAATGTGCAAATGTTTCTCACACTGGACACTTCCAGTACTGAGATTTCCTGATTTTTAAAAGTATGTATGATATAACCTTACAGAATATTGACTAAAATGGCATTTACTTTTCTCTTGAATCACTCAATATCCATACTCACTGGTTTGATATCATTCTCCAAAGAAGCAAGGAAGTCTCCTCTTGTCACCTGCAGGCTCTCTGCTTTCTCCATGTCCACTTCCACCTTAGTACTGGCCTAATTAGAAATGAAAACAAAATGTAAGGACTTCCAAGATGTAAGAATATTTCCAGTCTAACATAATGCCTGAAGACTTAAAAGGCATCTTTTCACAGACAAAAAACATCTCTCTCAAATTCACAAACACACATAACCTTTGCCTGAACAATTCCACTTCTTGGAATTTATCTCATGAATATATCCACAAATGTATGCAAAGTTATAGATATCAGAAGATCTACTAGAGTAATTTGTAATAACAGAAAATTAGAAGCAAATTAAATGTCTAGCAAGAGGGTACCAGTTAAGTAAATTATGACACATCTGTACCAAAGAATGCTGGATAGCTTTTTTTTTTTTTTTTCCCCCAAATAAGGCACGAGGAGAAAATACACACAGAGGGTCTCCAAGAACAGTGGTTCTCGTCCTTGGCTGCATACCAGCATAACCTCTAGAGCCTTTAAAGATATGCAGAAGCCCAGCCCCACTCCCTTCAGCATTTTGATTTGACAGGTCCAACAGAGGGCCCATACATTTATATTTTCATAAAGTGCCACAGGTGATTCTGATGCTCAAGTACGTTTGTGAACCACTATTCTAGAAGACCAATGTCCTACAACTTTGGTTTGCAGTCATACTCAGTGGTTGAGAATCTATGTGCCAGCTCCAAATATTCTGCTTCCTGCACCTGGAGCTAACACTTAGAACAGACATCTGGAGAAGCACCAAGGCCTTTACCAGCACTTGGAGCTGCCTGGACCTGATGAGTGATGGAGATACCAACACATTTTTTAATGTGACTGGGCTCACTCCCAAGGGCACAAGGCAAGGGAGTCTAATTTTTAAATGGCACTATCTTTTTTAAAGAGGGTATCTTTCAAAAAAATCTGACTGTAAAACAAAAGTATATTAAGCAATATCAACCTTCCATTGATTATTATAAAATATGACTCACGTTCTTTTAGGAACAGATTGTTGAGACAAATGAAATGACAGACATTTTGTAAAAAGTCAGCCTTATGGGATAAAAGGAACTATGTCAGGAAACTGGATCGAGATAGCAAATAGAACATATTTATTTATCTCCCTTCCTGCCCCAAATCCCATGAAATGAGAAAGTGAAAGAGAAAGGTTAAAAAGCATGGAAGATATATCCAGAAACTTAACACTGACCCAAGAGGAGTCTCAGAAGGAAGGAAGAGGAAGAATGATAGAGAAAAAACAATAAGACAGAAGAAAAAATGTTTTCCACAGCTGAAAAAAGGAGTGTCTTTGCAGTTTAAAAGATTCAATGAGTACTGATTAGGATGAGTGAAAAAAACCCCACATCTGTCTAGACACACTGTTATAAACTATCAGAACACTACAGGTGAAGAGGAAGTCCTTGAACCTTTTTGGGAGACAAAAACAGGTTACCTGCACAGAAAACCAGAATAAAACTGGTATATCTCTCACCAGCAACACTAGAAACTAGAAGATAATGTAACTAAATGTGGTCTTCAAAAATACATCCAGCTATCTCCCCTAGGAAATGATTCTCACATGCACTTGGGGAGGGATAGGCAAGCACTTTCACAACAGTATTATTTACTGTTCCAGGCACCAGACTCATATCAGAATATAAAACTGACGGAGTTCCTGCTCTCATGGATCTTACATTTTAAATTATGTTATAATATTCTAGAATACTGTGCATTTGTCCAAAATAATGAAGACTTGTATATACTGACATGGAAAACTATCCAAGATCTACTGTCAAGTGAAAACTATAAACTGCAGTATAATTCCATTGATTTTTTTTTTAAAGCACATATATATATGAATGTAAATGTAAGGAAAACAAGACTATACAGATATGACCCAAATGTTGGCTACCTCTGGAGAGGGAAAGAGAAGGGGTATTGGAGACAGCGTTTCTCACTTTTCCCTCTATCACTTGGCATCCTTGAGTCTTCTACACAGAGAATATATTCATACATGACCTCTATAGTTTTAAAAAGAAAGTAACAAATAATATCTAAATAGATATAATAATAGATTCTACTTAAATACAGAGAACAATTAGCATTTCAATTATTAATAGGGTTTTCATCGGCACATATTAGGCATTTGATAAATATTAACCACATTTGGGGCATCTGGGTGGCTCAGTCGGTTGAGCATCCAACTCTTGGTTTTGGTTTGGGTCATGATCTTGGGATCATGGGATCAAGCCCCACATCAGGCTCCGGTTCTGCTTGAGAGATTCTCTCTCCCTCCCCCTCTCACTCTACTCCTTCTCTCACTCGTGCTCTCAAATAAATAAAACCTTAAAAAAATATTAACCACATTAATCTGACACTTCTAAGTGAAAGAAAGGAAATGGTGTTACAAGAAACAAGCATCTCTATGAAAAAATTACAGTGCTCAGTTCATAATATATAAATCTCTATAGTGCTTTATAGTTTATTTTTATTTATTTTTAATTTTTTAAAGATTTTATATATTTATTTGAGAGCAAGAGAGAGCAAGCATGAGCCAGGCGGGGGTTTGATGGAGGGATGGAGGGAGAGGGAGAAGCAGGCTCCCTGCTGAGCAGGGAGCCCAACGTGGGGCTCAATCCTAGGACCCTGGGATCATGACCTGAGCCAAAGGCAGATGCTTAACTGACTGAGCCACTCAGTCACCCCAGTGCTTTATAGTTTATAAAGTATATTCATATACATTATCTCATTTCATCATACCCATTATCTCACTTTATCCTTATACAAGCCTCGAAGTTTTCTTAAAATAAGGGTAGGATAATTTAACTAAGGGTAGATATAAGATTTCCTTCCTAGGTAATCTTATATAAAGATTTTAACTCTGATTAAAACTTTCTGACACATCTTCAAGGATTCTACAAGATGTCAACTCTCAGGTCAAAGTGAAAAAGAAGCTCTGACAGAATCATGTTAAAACCCCAATGAAGCCTCCGGCCTCCAGCCTCATTCCCAATGTCTCCTCTGTCTATAGCCCTGAGTTTCTACTATGATGTTTTGTGTTTTGATTTCCTCTGCTGGTGAAAGCGAACTCAAATGATAGAAACATATAGCAATACGAGGGGAAAATCTTAACTTTTGATGTTTGCCAAAAAATATGATAGATTTCAGGACTGAAGCTGTGTGAAACTTGTCTGTTTACTATTAAGAAAGGACTTACCCAATGAATTAAAAGTGAAAAGCTGGGGGAGAGTTATTTTAGAACAAGTTGTTAGGCACGCCAGGAATTTTAGAAGTCACCTAATTGTAAACCATCAATATTCTAACTATAAATTATTCCTGCCTATTCATTAAGGTTTCTAAGGACTTCTCTTAGCTAACTTTTACTATTTTATCAAAATTAGTAAAATCTAATTTTAAAATATTCTAGAATTCTGAATTTTCATTCATTCAGAAAACCTTTTCTTGTTTGTCTGAATTACTGTGATTTTTTCCTGCAATTTTATTTATAACAGCTAATCAATATAGAAGAGGCAACATCTTTCAGCTTATACCTGCTGAAACTAATAAACTTGTATTTCAACACTAGCAAATATCAAGTGGTCACCCTTAAATTTCATAACCTTTTAAATCTGACCTTTCAAAGTTCTTATCATTCCTCTTAAATTAAGGATAGAATGACCTTAATCAATCAAAATTCTACAGAAAACAAGAAATAATTTTATTGAAATTCTGCAAGCATAAATCAGAGCTTGGATTCAGATAGAGTGTTGTGTGTGTGTGCATGTCCTTAATTTACTTCCTTAGAACCGATTAGAGCAGAAGAAATTCGGGTTATGAATCTTTTCTACCTGAAGCAGAAATTCCTTTCAAGAAAAAAAACAACCAAATGTCATATGAATTTCAGTTGACCACAAACATGGGTTCACGTACAAATGACATGAACATCAGGTGTTTATGACCGGATTTTCTCCTCGTTTCAGAAAACTTGAAAAAAGAAAAAAAAAAAAGTCTAACAGGGAAAACTTGTTTAGTTGAGTCTACCTGACTTTATTTAAGCCTAAATCTTTTGAAAAGGATGCAAAATAAAACCAATTAGGGCTTTTTATAATACAAAGACAGGACATTAGAACAAACAGTGGAATGCTGTGGATGTTTTAAAATTGTATATCAACTTCAGATCATAAGCTTCAAATTAAATACTTAACTCATCATTCACTACTAGTAAAGCTATGAACATCTACAATAATGGAAATATTACAACTTTATGCCTTTTGTTCAGCTGAGGAGTCTTGCTGGGAAAACAGTCTTTCAAGACCTTTGACAACACAGATTTTTAAAAACATAGAAAAGAACATAAATGTTCACATTATTTCTCCTTGGGGGCTAAGGTTAGTGTCCTTTAAATCTTTCTCTTCCCTGAAGTGCCTAAATAGTCCCTTGTATTAGATATTACATAGATCCTGAAAAAAATTAAAAGCTCTTTGGTATAAAAGATATTGATCCCAAGTCAGTATGCAGTACCTTAAGTTTAAAAGTAACCACATGGGAAAAGTGAAGGCAAGAATATCAACTATTTGCACTACTTCTTACTTGCAAATCTGAAGGATAACATATTCTGTACAGTGGTAACTAACACTTACAAAGGAAAAAATTACAATTGCAAATAGTCAAATTCAGAAACTCAGGCATTGTAAAAGATACATATGGTTCTCAAATTAGCCAATAATAGCAAAAAATGGAAACAATTAACATTTTATATAGTTTGGAAGTGATTTGATTTTCACAAAAACCTGATGAGGTAAGTAGTTACTTCCCCTTGACAGAAATAAAAAAGTCAGGGGTGCCTGAGTGGCTCAGTCGGTTAAGCATCTGCTTTCAGCTTAGGTCATGATCCCAGGATCCTGGGATCGAACCCCGTGTCAGGCCTCTGGTGGCAAGGAGCCTGCTTCTCTCCCCCAACCCTGGGGCTCGTGATGTCTCTCGCTATCTCTCTCTCTAATAAATAAATTTTTTAAATCTTAAAAAAAAAAAAAAAAAGTGAAAGAAGTTGAATGCATAGCCACATCTTCTGACTATAAAATCTGTCATCTCTCCACCATTACTCATTGTTTTGTGTGTAGATAAACCCAATATATACTTGAAGAAAGTATGTTTCTTAGTGAGAGAATGGCTTAGAATGACATTTTGAAATAGGACTATTGTGGTAAAAATGAAAGTGACTAAGAGAAAAATCCAGAGGCCACTGCATATGAAAACTTTGATAATACACCAGTCACTGTGGGTTATACCAAGATGCACTGATGTGGTCTGAGATGAAAGATCAGTATGGTGGGGAACAATCCTCACATCATTTACACAACTTTTCTTGAAGTCCCCATCACTTCTAAGACATTTCTTATGTCAAGGAGAAAGGATGAAAGAATGAATAGATGGATGGATAGATCCATTCTATAAAGGAACCAATACTGTTATTTCCACACTATCTGACCTTTGGCATTCCTGAGCTAGAACAAAGTCACTTCTATTACGTAGGGAAATTATGACTTATGGGTAGAGCTTGATTCAGAATACATATATAAGTTTACTAACTTTAGAAACTTACCAAGCACCTGCTACGTTCTCAGTATTTAGACCCATTTGGGGCACTGTGGGATATTCAGACACGAATAAGATATGGACTTAAAGTCTAGAACAGGGGTTGACAAACTTTTTCTGTAAAGAATGAGATAGTAAATATTTTAGGCTTTGTGGGGCCACACAATCCTTGTTGCAAATTCTCAACTCTACCACTGGAGCATGAAAGCAGTCACTGACAACACATACATGACTGGGCATGTTCCCCCAAAATTTCATTTATAAAAATTGCTGGTGAACTGGATATGGCTCATGGGCCACAGTCCTCAAGTTAGAATCAGTGATAGGATGTTGCCAACTCCACTCGCCTCAATACTCCACTCGACACAGCTGCCAGAGTGAGCTTATGTTTTAACACTATGTCGCTGCTATTCTTAAAACTCTTCAATGGCTTAGCACTACTCACAGGAAAAAAGTCCATACTTCTTAGCACAATATAAAAGGCTCTTTGTGCTCCACTCCCTGCTTTAGTCTCCTGACTTATTCCCCACAATGTCTCTCTCTACCTCCCCTCCCTTTTATGCTGAAGCGATACTGAATTACCCTAACACACCATGCTATTTTGTGTCTCTTTTCCTTTGCCTTCTACCTAAAATGTCCTAACCCACCAAGAGACACATTCACCCAGAAATGTCTCTGTGAAGCATCCTCTCACCCCAGGAGTTGACCCCATCTGACACCCTTTCACTTCCTTACGTCCCCTGTCCTTTCTGTTACTGAATGTGGAGATTAAACCATGGGCTGCTCAGGGTAGGCAGTTTACTCCTTTCAGGTGCAGCATTAGCTGCCTGCATAGTGTCTGGCATAGAGTAGGTGCTGAATAAATCTACTGTGAACCAAAGTGAACTGGAAGTACCATAAGTGATACACTACTATCCCAAGAAGGAAGACAATACATCCTTCTTAGAGGAGACAATCAGAAAAGGTTTGAAGAAAAGTGGTGGCATATGAACTAGGTATTAAAAAGATAAGTAAACATAGAGGGTAAAGACTTCTGCAAAAGCAGGTAAGTGAAAAAATAAATTAATGTCTGATGACCAATGAGTATTTCAGTTGGCTAAAGTATGGAGAATAATTGGGAACACACTTGGAAAGGCCAGTTTAGGGTCAGATCTAGAGGACCTTAAGGATCAGGCTAAGAAGTCTGTACTTTGTTCTGAAGTTTCTGTAGGGTAGAATAGTATGAAACAGGAAGACTAATAAAACAGAAGGTGGGTAGAAACTGAAGGACACAGCCAAGATAGAAGTGACAAAATTTGGTGAATGACTTGATATAGGACACAGTAGAGTGGCAGGAATTAAAGATATTCCTGAAGTTTTAAGCCTGGGAAATTGGGATAAACAGGAAAATAGGAACAGGAAGGAAAGCAGTTAAAAAAAAAAAAAACACAGTGAATTTGGTTTGGGAATATTAAATTTGAGACCTGATAAAACATTGAGGTAGAGGTATTTTGTGTAAATCTGAAAGTGGGAGAAAGAAGCTTTCAAGAGATGAGACATAAATCTGGGAGTCATCCATCTATCCCTGAAGAGGAGAAGGGATGGTAAAGACTCAAAAGCACTTTATCAACATAAAAGTATCCCGGTATGTCTTCCTACCATAGTATCAATAACATTATTGTACTAATTTACAAACATGTCCATCCGCCTGACTCTGAATTCCTTGAGGGGAGAAGTCATGGTTTATCATCTCTGTGTCTCCAGGTTAATACTCAGAAAACAGCAGGTATTCAGTGTATGTGCTGAATGACGCAGCCCCCATAATTCTAGCATCTAGAAAACGCAACTTCCTATGACATGTTCCAATTCTACACAGTACAAAGATTAAAAACTGAGCTCCTCATACTCTTCATCTTCACATGTTCGTATCAGATGGCAGCAACCGAGGCAAATGTGTTCGTCGTTACCGTCGGGCAGATGCCAGCATCATCTTCCTACCACTCTAAAGCTTTGGCAGCGGACAGTTCCCATTCCTTTCACCATGTCTCTTCTCTGTCAAAAGTCAGCACTATCACAGCTCTTGGTACATTTGAAAGGAAAGGGAAAGAACACTGACACAGTATTTACAGAGCTGCAGAATCCTAATGTGTTAGCGGATTTTCCTGACCTTGATGTGTCGGTTCATAGCAGTGGACTGTGCCGCCCGCACCAGCCCCTCCAGTTCAGCACCGCTGAAATTCTTGGTCTCCACAGCCAGTTCTTTAATGTCTACGTCAGCAGAGAGTAACTGATGCCCTCTCATCCTTGCAGTGTGGATGTGAAGGATCTGTAGTCGACCTTTCTCATCTGGTAAGCCTGGTAAAATTGAAAATAAAGTAGAAATTATTACAATCCTAATCCTTTCCTTCAGGTACTTAAGCAGGTAAACATGTGCTCTTCATGATACACAACTTTTCCAACCAATGTTAAGTTATAGGACTCTGCTCTTACTAATGAACTCTAAACACACACCCCTCCCCCAACCAGTGACAGATCTGCTTACCTATCTCCATTTTAACTTCCAGTCTTCCAGGTCGAAGGAGAGCCTCATCTATCAGATCTGGTCTGTTGGTCATTCCTGAGCACAGATTTCAAAACGAAACAACAAAAGTTAAAAAATAAGGGCGCCTGGGTGGCTCAGTTGGTTGAGCGACTGCCTTCGGCTCAGGTCATGATCCTGGAGTCCCGGGATCGAGTCCCGCATCGGGCTCCCTGCTCGGCGGGGAGTCTGCTTCTCCCTCTGACCCTCCTCCCTCTCGTGCTCTCTGTCTCTCATTCTCTCTCTCGCAAATAAATAAAAAATCTTAAAAAAAAAAAAAAAAGTTAAAAAATAAGATAAAATGTCCCTTCAGTATATGTAAGAACAGTAATTTCTCAAATAAGTTAAGATATTTTATAAAGGTCAAATAGAAAACAATTATTCTCAAATAAAAATATCATTTGTTCTTGATCTGTTCTAATGGAAACACCTGAAGACTCTGCTTTAGTATTTCACTATACTGCCAATGGAATATAAATGTAATGAAAACTTCAAATATTTAAAAAGAGAAGGTACAGTTCAGAGAGGCTAAGTAGCCTGTCCAAGTGAGAGAGGGACAATGTGAACATGATCTGCCCAACCCCAAAGTCCCTCTCCTTTTTTGTAGGCCAATGGTTTTTAACCTTCATAAATATCAAAAGTTTTGTTTTTTAAAGTCATCTTAAAAGAACCTCAGTACATGAAACAGTTAAAAGAAGAAGTTATAATTGGGATACATGATCTGAAGCTCACTCACAGACCCTGAGGCACCTCTGCGGGCCCCTGGAGGCCTATAGGATGCAATTTGAAAACCACTGCATTACACTATGCTGCCTTTTTCATCTTTGAGCTATGAGCATACACACCCATGAGTCACTAAAACCCACCTTTTATTTGTCCTATTAAGGCCAGACATTAAAATAGGTACTTAAGATTCTTCAATATCACCTGATTCTAATTTGGAAACATGGGCAACACAGTATTAACTACAACCTACAGAGATCTTAATTCAGAACCTATGTGTCTAATGTTTTTGAAATCATAAAACTTTTTTTTTTCAAAGCAAACATACCAATGACTAAGATGTTGTTCAGTTGCTCTACCCCATCAATTTTGGACAGCAACTGGTTGACGACAGTGTCATGAACTCCTGTGCTACCAGCCATGCTCCCTCTCTGCTTGCAGATGGCATCAATTTCATCAAAGATGATTATGTGCAAACCGCTGTTAGCACCAAGCTGTTGAGGGAAGAAATTATAGTGAAGGTCATAATTTGAATATATTACTAAACAAACTAGTCAAAGAGAGCAAAACAAAGCTGTCACAGATTGATTTTCCTCCATTTTGACTAATAAATACAGCAGGTGTACTCATGGCTTCTACCCTTCAAAGGTATTGGAACTGCATTCTCAGAATTCTGCAAACTGAAAAGGCATTCCAGAACCTCATATTTAATAGCCATAAAACAAAAATGTACATTATATATTAATGAATGTGAATAGTCCATCAAATAACCTGTTCATTGACATGCATTTCTTTTCTCACTATTGAAAAGAACAACTCATAATTATCAGATGTCTGTCTTAAGTCAGTGAATGGCAACTCCCTCCCATTTTCCCTGAATTTTGGTGAGAGAATAGTTGCAGCAGGCTTAACGTCTGTCATATTATATAACTAAGCAGTAACTCTACCCGGAGATTGACTGGGAAGTGGGCAGATGACGGAAGGAGGTGAACATGATTCACATTTGGTTATATCACACGAAAACAAAGTACTTTTTTCTAACAGTAAAGTGAGAACAGAGACATAGTTTATAAAAAGAATAGTCAAGGGGGTGCTATTTCTTCTGCATAGTGATTTGAGTTTGTTGAATACAGTCATTATAAGAAAATAGTTTGCACATTGTAAACTTTTAATAGATGCAAATATTTTCAAATGCCAATAATTCATTAGGTTAACATGGACCTTCTAACAATTTATATTCAAGTACTTAAGTCTCTTATAGGAACCAAAGAAGGAAGTGCACTCCATAAATTTTTTCTTTTTTTTTTTTTTTTTTTTTTAAAGATTTTATTTATTTATTTGAGACAGAGAGAATGAGAGAGCGAGAGCACATGAGAGGGGGGAGGGTCAGAGGGAGAAGCAGGCTCCCTGCCGAGCAGGGAGCCCGATGCGGGACCCAATCCTGGGACTCCAGGATCATGACCTGAGCCGAAGGCAGTCGCTTAACCAACTGAGCCACCCAGGCGCCCCAATTTTTTCTTTTTTTAAACAAACAAACAAACAAACAAACAAACAAACAAAATCAGGGATTAACAAAACAGGTGAAAATGAACATTAACTTACATATGGATAATATAAATAATGGGCATAATGAGATTCAGGATTAGATATGATTGGTATTCATTAAACCTCTGGTATGGATAGAATTTTTTTTTTTTTTTTAAGAGTTGGGACTTTTTTGGGGCGCCTGGGTGGCTCAGTCAGTTAAGCATCTACCTTCGGCTCAGGTCATGATCCCAGGGTCCTGGGATCGAGGCCTGCATCAGGCTCCCTGCTTGGTGGGGAGCCTGCTTCTCCCTCTCCTCCCTGCTTGTGCTCTGTCGCTATTCTCTCTCTCAAATAAATAAAATCTTTAAAAAAAGTTGGGATTTTTTTACTTCGTTATAAAAGCATTAGATGTTAACTGAGCAAAAGTTGTAAAACAAATGGAAATAAGTTAAAAATATGCTATGTCATATCATACCTATGATATATACTACATAATACCTAAAGATAAATGCTGTTAACATTCTGTAGATTTTTATATTTTAAATTTATTTTAATTAAAAAAATTGGGAACTCACTGCATCTTGTATTCTCTTGAACATTATTCTTTGAAAACTAAAATTTTTATTTTTGTTTCTATTTGCAAAATACATGATTATAGAAAATGTGGAAAAACACTAAAAAATGGAAAGAAATCATAATCATCCAAAATTCAACTAGCTACAAATAACTCATATTATTAATTAGGTGCTGTGTAGGTAGTTTGTATCCCTTTTTTCAGTACAGATATTGTCTTCAGCCCTTTCACATGGCTATACATACAACTATATAATTTTTAATGGCTCCATAATATTTCATTGTATGACTGCTTCCACAGAGAACTCCCCTAACTTCACCTTAATTCCTTCCTATCAGATATTTAATAATTTCTAAGTTTTTAGTATTATATATGTTGTTACAATAAACATTTTTTTTAAAGATTTTATTTATTTATTTGAGACAGAGAGAATGAGAGAGAGCAAGCACATGAGAGGGGGGAGGGTCAGAGGGAGAAGCAGACTCCCCGCCGAGCAGGGAGCCCGATGCGGAACTTGATCCAGGGACTCCAGGATCATGACCTGAGCCGAAGGCAGTCGCTTAACCAACCGAGCCACCCAGGCGCCCTACAATAAACATTTTTTTAAGATTTTATTTTTAGGGGTGCCTGGGTGGCTCAGTCAGTTAAGCGTCTGGGTGGTCCTGGGATCAAGCCCCACATTGGGCTCCCTGCTCTGCAGGAAGCCTGCTTCTCCCTCTCTCACTCCCCCTGCTTGTGTTCCCTCTCTGTGTCTTTCTCTGTCAAATAAATAAATAAAATCTTTAAAAAAAAAAAAGATTTTTATTTTTAAGTAATCTCTATACCCAACATGGGGCTCGAATTCACGACTCAGAGATCAAGAGTCACATGCTCTACTGACTGAGCCAGCGAGGTGTCCCATGATAAACATTTTTGTACTTAACTCCTTGACAATAAATGATTATACTTCCTGAATGCAAATTGTTACTTTAAAAGGTGTGTTGAGTATTTTAAGGCCCTTGAAATAGTGTCCAATACTTTTCCAGAAAGATTTTATCACTTTATAATCCCACCAAGGTATATGACAATGACTATCTTGGTATATCCTCACAAGTAATGAATATTAGCAAAATCTAAAAAGTAATTCCCAACTTGATAACCAAACAACAGTGTTTTCCAATTTTTTTTTTTTTTTTAAAGATTTTATTTATTTATTTGAGAGAGAGAAAGCATGAGGCGGGGAGGATCAGAGGGAGAAGCAGACTCCCTGCTGAGCAGGGAGTCCGATGCGGGACTTGATCCCAGGACTCAGGATCATTACCTGAGCCGAAGGCAGTTGCTTAACCAACTGAGCTACCCAGGTGCCCCTCCAGTTGTTTTTAACTGGCATTTGTCTGATTACTGAAGAGGATGGTACTTTCTAAAATCATGTTTTTACCATTTGTAATTTTTCTTTTATTATTTGTACATATCCTTTGCACATTTTTCTTTTGGGATTTAATAGTGTTTCTTATTGATTTATAGAAAAATTCTTTATATATTAAGGGTATTATTCATTTGTTATAAATATTTTATCCCAGCTTGCCGCTTATCTTTTAATTTTATTTATGGTATATTTTTGAATATAGAAGGACCTTTACTTTTTTTTTTTTACTATGTTGCCAAAATTACCCATTTTTAATTTTATGATTTTTAAAAATTAATTTTACCCTTAAAATCCTTCCCCATTGTAGACCCTGATAGTCACCTATATTTTCTTCTCTTTAAAAATTTTTACTTTATATATAATTTTTCAATCTATCTGGAGTTTCAGTTTTGTAAATGGTACATGTGAAATAAGAATCCAAATAATTCTTATTCAAACAATTAACTGATCCAGTACTGTAGACTAAATAATCTTTTCTCTTCATGGATTGTCATTTCTATCGGGCTTCATATTTTTATATTATTGCCAGCCTATTCTACTACAGCAGTAGGTTGGGTAAGCTTGCTCCCTCCACACATTATTCTTTGTTATAACAATTTTGACTATTTTATGGGGCACCTGGGTGGCTCAGTTGGTTAAGTGTCTGCCTTTGGCTCAGGTCATGATCTCTGGGTCCTGGGATGTAGCCCCACATCAGGCTTCCTGCTTAGAGGCGAGTCTGCTTCTTTCTCTCTCTCCCTCTGTGCCGCCCCAGTTTGTTCTGTCTCAAATTAATAAATAAAATCTTTAAAAAAAATAATGTAGAATCTGTTTTTCAGTCACAAAATTTCCAAGAATTAATACCCTACCATACAGAAGTATTTGGCAAAACTGAAGGTATAGTTCCAATTCCTTATCCTCAGTCTTTTCTACAGTTGGAAAGATGATAGCTTTTGGTGTTGAAATTTTTTTTAAGCAACCAAGCTATCATTTATCATCAGACATCTGTTCAATAAATATGACTATATTGAGAAAATTATTTTTTTTTCAGATTTGAACTTAGTTTTTAAAACACTGGTGGAAGGAAAACAATCTGTAAGTAGTTCAGGAAAAAAAAAACCCTAGTTAAATTTTAGAAACCTTGATGAACACATGACTATCATTTTGCAGAGAACTGCATTAAAGAGTGAACAATAATCCAAATATGAGTAGAATGTAAATATTATATTTTATCTGTTTTTAAAAATTCATTATTATGAAGTAAAACTGACTTTTGGTATGAAGTTTTGTGAGTTTTAACACGTGTAGAGTTTTTTTTTCTTAAAGATTTTATTTATTTGAGAGAGAGAGAGAGAGAGCGCACAAGTGCATGATTTGGGGGAGGGACAGAAGCAGACTCCCCACCCAGCAAGGAGCCTGATGTGGGGCTCGATCCCAGGACCCTGAGATCATGAGCCGAAGGCAGACGCTTAACCGACTGAGTCACCCAGGTGCCCTGAGATTCTACATTATTTTATTTATTTTATTTTTAAAGATTTTATTTATTCATGTGAGAGAGAGAGACAGAGAGAGCACAAGCAGGAGAGGCAGAGGGAGAGGGAGAAGCAGACTCCCTGCTGAGCTGGGAGCCTGACATGGGGCTCAATCCCAGGACCTGAAGATCATGACCCAAGCTGAAGGCAGACGCTTAACCATCTGAGCCACTCAGGTGCCCCTCTACATTATTTTATAAGACATTTTTATTCAAGGTTGTCTGCCAATTTAGCATGAAACAAAAAGCTGCTAAAATGTATGAATTTTGCTGTCATTGTGCCTTATGTTGCCACTGGAATCATGACTTCCTTCTCAGTCCGACCTCAAAAATCATCTGTGTGGATGGGAAGCCAGAGACAATAGGAACACTGTAGACCCACAGGAACAATTTGTCTTATAATCAGTACCATTCTGATCTTTTCAGAACCTTACTAATCTTGTGACCTGTCATCACGTGCCTTCCCCCAACCTAGTCA